AAGAAAAAAACTACTTAATAATTTAACAGCTTTTAACAGAAAATAATAACACCTTGGGCCTACATTGTGAAACAATGTAAAACATTGTGGTAAGAGTGCTTTCCAACAAGAAGCACTTCAGAAAGAGTTGAAATTGCATTTATCAGGACTCAAGGGATCTTAAAAAATAATCCAAATTGCAAACTAAGTCCAACCCTGGATATTTTATGTAATTTCGAACCTGCAACCTCATGCCCAAACATAGCTTATATCACTAACTGGCAGTATGCCTTCACTGGCTTTTGAATGGGTCATTTATATTATCATAATATATTTTACATAGTGTCTTCATTTACTCCACAACCAGGGTTGATTGCTCAGCAGCCACATCACATATTGATGCAAATAACTAATTTATGTTATTGGATGACCTACTTAATAAAAACGCAACAGGAGAAGCATATTATATAATCAACAGCTAGGCCTACTATTGCGGAGAAAAGAGAGAACGAGAAGAGCTGCCAGCAGCTGAATTTGTCTCTACAAAGGCGGACCAACAAGATGTAAAATCTGCTGAATTTGCTTTTTATTTTTATTTATTTATTTTTTCTAAAGTTTTAGTACACATATACACTATATGGCTCCGCGGATGGCGCCGTCTTTGATTTTGCTATGTACTATTATATTCGTATAGAATGAGATGTAAAGAACTGTGAACTGTCAAAAGTGATAAGGTATAGCTAGTCCAGACCAAACTTAAAGTATGACAAATGTATACTTAACTGAGAATGTTTCGGGAAACACGTATTAACGATAAGGTACAGTTTACGGTACAACTTAACAATGACGTAACGTTAAGAAGGTTTCAACAAACTCAGCCCTGGAGTCCTTTCAGGATCGGATAGCTATCCGATCAGAGAAAACGCATGAAGTGACCAAGTGTCAACAGGCCCGAACATGCAGTGTAGTCGGATGAAATTGCCACCTTGGAATTAGGCTATAAGGTGGTTCACCGGGTGCATTCTGAGCAATTTTGAGATACTGAGCTTCAAAGTTTTGCATTCCATTGTAGACAGATTAAAAAAATAAATAAAAAGTCCCAAAATGTGCACAACTTAACAAAACACACACACATAATGTAAACAAGTTGTCACAGAATAAAAATATGTGAATAACTAAATTTTTATAAAAATGTCTGATAGAACTGTCACGGTTGCTACTGCGGAGGAGCGAAGGAGCACAGAGACATCGAAGAATTCACGAAGAACAGTCTTTATTAATCTACACCAAGGGGTAACACAGGGCAGGCAGGAACACACACGTAGCACATAGGAATTACGTTTAACACTGGACAAAGGAACCAAGGAACAGACAACACTTTAAATACAGAAGTAATTAGGGAAAATAGACGAGACACACCTGAACCAAATCATACAATCACACATGGGAGACAGAAACTGGGTCACGGAGCCAGGGTGGACCAGATGGAGGGAGGAGCCAGGGTGGACCAGACGGAGGGAGGAGCCAGGGAGGAGACAGGAGGGACTTGGAGCAGGCGGGACCCAGGCCACAGCCATGAAGGCGACCCACAGTGAAGCCAACGGAGAGAGGAGCCATGGTGGAGGAAGTGCTGACAACTCCAGGGGACCAACCAATGGTGGCGGAGCAGGTGGAGGAGGAGTCCGAGGCAGAGACGGAGAGCTGATGAGCCAGGGCGACTGGGAGGATCCGGAGGGCCAAAGCAGCGCAGATGGCTCAGGCGACTGAGGCAGAGGTGTGGATCCGGAAGGCCGCGGTGGAGCCGGAGCGACAGAGGCCCGAGGTGGAGCTGAAGGGAAGGAGGAGCCTGACAGAGCCGAAGGGATGAGGGGAATGGAGTCCCGAGGCGGCGGATGGTCGACGACTGACCATGGTGGTGCTGGAAGGACAAGGGAGGCCGGCGGAGCTGGTGGACTGATGGGCCACGGCGGAGAGGAGGGAGCTTGCTACTGCGTAGGAGTGAAGGAGCGCGGAGACGTCGGAGAATTCACGAAGAACAGTCTTTATTAAACCACAACAAGGGGTAACACAGGGCAGGCAGGAACGCACACGTAGCACATAGGAATGACGTTTAACACTGGACAAAGGAACCAAGGAACAGACAACACTTTAAATACAGAACTAAACAAGGGATAATAGACGAGACACACCTGAACCAAATCATACAATCACACATGGGAGACAGAAACTAGGTCACGGAGAGCACATGAGGAGCAAAACACACACACAGACAGTCCAGGGGTGTGACAAGAACCTTACAATTTCAAGGTGACGAAATTTTGTACTGCAGGCAAAAGCCTGTTTGACTTTCTTTACAATACGAGTTTAGTTACAGTAGATGGTAAATGCACCAGCAAAAACATGCCATTCCCCATCTCACTTTAACATATAATTTCAAAATAACAACAATATTTTATAACTAAATCAATTAACAGACCATTATCCAAAGACTAACACACATCACCTCAAAACTAGTCTATCAGAAACAATTTCATAAAAATTGATGTTCTGATGAAAATATTAAGAACACAACCATTCAATATATGTGATGCGGTCTAGTGACATCAGGGGTCAATGGGACTGGCTTAACATTAGGGCTCAAATGATTAGTTGACATTATTCACAGCATCAACAATAAAAATACGATCAACAAATATATTTGATGTCAAGTAGTCGTTTGATCTCATATCACCTAAAGCAAGCAGCTTTACAGTATTAAACATGAAAAAAACAGTGTCAGTGTCGCTTTCAGTTAGAATTACAACTTGATGTTCTGTTATTAAGCAGCTCTCCAATGTGGAGCTAGATAATGATAAAATCTTTTTATTAGTGAATTCAAAAATAAATAAATAATAATAAATTAATTAATTAATTAACTAAATCCTATTATTACATCAAAATGACCGTTTGGTTTGCATAGATTAAAGCTTAATCTAGCTCAGGACTGTTTAGATTATTATAACACTACACACACACACACACACACACACATACAAATGGGCACTTCAGCAGTTCTTTGGGGTGGCTGAGGTGCTATATAGCACCGCTAACGTGTAAAGAACCAGTTAAGACCAGTATAGATCTTCAGCGTTTTTTTTGGAGTGGTTAAGGTGTTATATAGCCTGGGCCTGGACCACCCAATTAAAGGCTCAGTCCACCCTGGCCCCACACCACAGCCAATCACAAAATTGGTGTGATATTCAATTGAGTTCCAAATATTTAAATTTTTTGTCCTGGGGCCATCATCAAAGATGCTCGGGACAGTTGATGGATTTGTCACTGGCCTGATCGGGCTACCACTGTGTCTTCATGAAAGTTTACCATTTGCATGTGATTTTCTGCCTTGCCAGTGTAAACATTCAATCGATTTTAAAGCATTCAAGCGCAAGAAAATGTGCAGCAAACCTCAATTCGGTATTAGTGCATTCTCTGTGTGTGTTCTGTGTACCTACAGTGTGCATATAGAGAGCCGTTTATCTGTGATAATGCATGAACCCAGAGTTCTCTATTTTGATTTCTTGCGAATCTCGCGAGAATTAGTAGACCACCCAGGTAATTCTTGGTTATACTCTTGAAGTACTCTTAGTACTGTTCTACTAAGGATTTGGACATACTTATTTGTTCGCCTACTGTTTTTTGCCTACTACATAAGTATGGGAAGTATAGAAGTATGTGGTTTCAAACACAGCGCTTATGACAGCTTGGTTATGACACTTCGTATTTTGAGTGCGACGCAGAGTGTGTGACGCAGAGCTGCCTTCACATGCTATCGGAATGATACATAAATAGTTTCCTAGTCGGAAATTGGACATGAACTGCCTCTCAAGTCGTATTTAAAACTGGGAATCTCTATCAAATTAAACATGGAGAGTAACATAGCTGTAGTAAAGTTTTATTTGTTTTTCGCACATCATTGACATTGATTTCTCCTGCTCTTACAGTCATGTTTACGTAAATAAATAACCATTTGATGCATATTGTATGTATTGAACACAGCGAAAAGAGCATTTATTTGACCGAAATTTAGGAATTGTAAGCCTGCTAAATATCTTGATGTTTATATGGTTATTCAAAACGTGTTGGGTATTGACTAAATATCTTATATACCTTTTGGCTTTAATAAGATTTCCTCAAGAAACAGACAAGAATGAACTCATGATTGGGCCTTCCACCAAGGATCCTGTTCTTTACGACAACCAAGCACTTGAACGTGACTAAACTCGTAATTAGAACTTCAGAAGTGGAAAGTAGGAAGTTTCCGATAGCATGTGAAGGCAGCATAAAATAGCAATGCAAACTGTTTACTTAAATTTTTCAAGTTCTATTTCAAGTTCTATGCAAATTCCATTTTAAGTGTAACAGTGCAAATTTCATTTTAACAACCATTTAAATTGTAATTTACTTACATTATATCCCTTGAATACTAGCAGTGTACCTGCTTTCAGTATGATGTGCAGATTGCTTCTTTTTGAGTTGTAAGAATTCCATGGTTGAAAATAATGAAGAAGATTTAAGTATTGTTCATTTGCATTCAAATATAATATAATATTAATAAAATAACATGAAAACGATATGGACAATTAAAGGTTTTGGAAAAGTAAAGTTAAAATGATCAAATAACTACTAAATCAGTTTAAACTAAGGGTCAAATGTACACAGCAAAGAAGAAGGTGGTCTAAAAGTGGTCCATACTTTTGAAATTTGTCACTCATTCACTCATTAGACACAGCTTATGGGAGCACACCATCTGATTGAAATACCTGTGTGTCTACTGAATAACATCTCCTGTTGTGGGTGCACACAAACTCAAAGTAAAAAGGTAAAACATACAGTAATCAAACCACATTGACCAAAACTGGGTCACTGAGTTTGTTCAACTCATTTTGTGGTACTCACTGTAAAAGTTTCAAACCACATATACAGGGTATAGAAAATCTGGCAGAGGCTGAAAATAACCACAATAAGAAGGCATTATAAATGATAAACTATTTATTTACATAAAATGTACAAATTACATACAAATGTAGAAATCCAAGCAAATTTTGTAAATTCCCTTATTCCTGATTTGCTTGATGATAGTGCAGGATATTTTTTTTCTTTACAATAATTACAGTTGAGCCTATAACAAACGCCAGCACACACACTCCACACACAGACAGAATCAGTAAATAAAAAGGTTTTCCATTACTACACTCAGCATCGGTCGTCTCTGTTCCTGCCTTGACTGTAGTTTTGCCAAGAGATTCACACCTGTTAGAGAGAGGGGTAGTGATCAAGTTCAACTTTAACTTGCCTTTGTGTTTATAAGAAGCTCTGATACAAATATATCTCTTGTGAAAAAAGGGCTCCAATTAACCCCAAAATCTGTTGATGCAGATTGCAAAACAACAATTAAACAAACTTTACTCTTGGAACCTGTGGAACATCAGTGTTTAAATATCAGATGATAAATATGAAAACTAGTGATGAAACGATAATTACTTTGTATGTAATTTGCAGAGTGTACCATCTGAATATGAACCAGCAGGACAGTCATCACACACTGCATCACTGAATTCTGTTCCTACAGAAACACAAACAGAAATACAGTTAACATACGCAATTAATTGAATATCACTAATTAAATGGTGCGATACTTATAACCTTTGACCTAGGATAGCTCAGTTCTGTTCTAGCTGAAATCACAGCTCTTAAATTAGCTAGTGACATTATTGTTTAGTAGCATCTGGCACACATGATGATTTGCCAAATCTGCCTAATCACAATTGAGCAGACTTTGCCAGATGGTTGTGCTGTCAGTCACAAACAAACACTGTGGTAAAAACCTTCTGACCACTGTTTGTGTGTCAGTGTTGAGTATCCAGTATAAAACTGGAAAGCTTTGGAACAATATGCAAAATTCCATATTTATTTATTATAAATGCAAGCAATGTTATTGTTCTCAGATGTCATCTCAGCCTATCAGTTTGTGTGGATAAAAAAGTAAAAAATTTCAAAGCTGCTTTAAATTAAATTAATTATATTATACCAGACATTAGATAGTTTAGACAGATTACAATAGACTGACCGGTTTGGTTGATGTATTGTTCAGGTGAGCAGGTTGAATGTTTAATTGCCTTTGGACAGTTTGAGAGAAACTCTAAACAGTAATATCCTGGCAGAGGTTCACACACTGTATTTGATATTAATGTACATGCCTTCTTTACTCTGAGCCCATTACCTTTGACAAGAAAGGAAACAAATTAGTCAATTGTAGTCAATTTGACAATGAGAATTCAATAAAAATACATTTGGAAACCACCATGACTTACTAGAAATAAACAGTTTTACTCACTTGGATCACAGAATGAACAAGGCAGACATTCTGTCAGTCCATTAGGAGCATCAGTGTAGGTCATCACAAGGCATAAATCACATGTTGTGCTTGTGTACTCATCACAATGTTTATGAGCTCGCTTTCCTAGAAAATAAGTCTGGAGTAAATAATCTGAATAATAAAAGTAATCAGACTTGAGTAGGGCTGGGTAAAAATACAAATGTCCTATGAACAATCAATATATTGATTCTGTTTTGATTCTTGATTGATCTTTTACTTTATGCTTATTTTCAGCGAAACCTATATAAATAGATTTTACACTGTATCTAAATAGCTTAACCTGCCCCAGTTGCTATATGCCTATACTATACCAAATAAAGGGAAAGTACCCAGAATGTTTAGTTGATGAGATGGCACCTGTTGCTTTGCATAGCCCACAGAAACAACACCAAAGTAGTACCGGGGGGGAAATCATATGACCCCTTTAAGTATCTGACTTCTCTTGCATTGTGGTGATGAGTGAAGGACAATCAGACTTACCTGGATCACACATTGGGCAACACTCTCCATTAATTTCATATTCTGCATTATTGCAAGTTGCCACAGTTTACTGTGACTGGCTGCAGTATGGTCATAAACTCTGCCCTCTCCTTGTAAATAAATGGGACTTATGCCAAAAAAAAAATTTAATCTAATTACACTTTAAATAATTTTTCCCCAAAGGTGGTTTCTGTCATTTTACTTTGTTCTTATCACGTTGATATATGTTCAAGTGTACTTTTCTAATAAGTTCGGTTTTAGTTATTTGATGCTGTAAAAACAGTGTGTGGTTTCATGATTGTGTGCTTGTGATTGATCAATTTGGACAGGGCCTTCATTCGGCAGCTTCACCTCATGATTACCAGCAAACTCTGGCTCCAAATGACATCATCAGCACAAAATGACTGTGGCCATATATGCAATATACTGTATGGGTGCAGCAGGAGCAATGATATTACGCAGCGCCTGAAAATAGGCTAACTTCCGTCAACATAACCAACTACACAAACTTAGTTCCGGTCACGTTGGAAGTTACCTAGCTGGGGACTATTTTCAGGCGCTGTGTAATATCATTGCGCCTGCTGCACCCAAAGTTCCTTGATTATTACGCCGGAATGAGAGTATAGTTCCTAGCCATATTGGCCGAGAAAATCGCAACTTTTCATTTTCCGTCGGTCTTAGTACAAGATGTAACGGTAACACTTTAGAATAATGGTCCGTTGTTAACAAGTAACTATGCAGGTAGTAATAGGTAGTACTACATTAACACTTAACTTAATACTATTAACTAATAGAGAAGCAAGATTAACTAAGCAGTAAGCAGTAGCAAATTTAGGACAAAGTTAGTTCCTTATTAGATATTTGATAATTACTAAAAAAAATATCCTCATCGAGAACTACTTGTGAACTATGACCAGTTAATAAAGAATAACCAATTAATTACTAATCACAACAGCAACGTCTTAAAAGTGAACAATTTGTGGTAACTAATTTATGAATTTGATATCCCCCAAATAAGTCGGCTACATTTTAAAATTGTGACTACTACTCTTACCAAAGGATGGATGTTCAAACGTAAACATAGAATAACAATAAAAATGAAAATTCACTTAAAAATATTATTAATTAAGAAGTGATGCTGACAAGCTACTGGTAAAATATCACTAGTGCTTCACACAAATGTATGACTGTACAGTATGTCAGATATAAAATATGTTAAATAACTTATTAATTTACTTGTGAGTAATTACTGAGGAGTTAACGTGCTTGATATTGCAAACTGGTGTGTCTTACCATATTATTTTTAATGCTTTATCTTAATTATGAACACAATGGTTTGTAGTGCAAACAATTTTACCATTTACTGCACTTAGTTATTTCCCTACAGCAGCTAACGAACCGGAGATTTCACACATTACCAGAAAACGGCTTACTTCCGCATTGAAAAATAAGGTGGATAGCTCACCTGAAAATGAATAAAATCACAGCCAAGAAATACTCAGCCATCTCCCTATGATCCTGAGGGATTCTTCAATACTGTGGATAGTAACTATTCACATTCTGTGCACAGAACATTTCTATCCCTATCCTTTTAAATAGAATGTTGACAAAAAGCTTAGTGACTAAAGAACATAGATTGAATCTAATATAATGTAAAAGCTGTTTTTAATGTGTAATCTTTCTTTGTGTGCTTCCCAATTACATCCATTCTCACTTTGTTATTTTGGAGCAGTCATAAAATTGTATTAAAAATAAGGACAATTTCCTCACAGTGATAAAAACTGAGAAAAAAACACAATAAAAATTAAACGGAGGCAAAAATAGTTATACTTACTTAAGACACAATCCAGCTTGAACTTCCCTATTACCAATGATTTAAACATTCCTGTTGTCAACGTTTAAAAAAATCCAGTCCCAATTTCCTTTGGAAAATCCCATGCATTTGATTTCTCAGGGGACTAGTGAGTTTGCTAAAAAAAACAGCAAATAATTTGTACAGAGGTTGTGCGAAGAAAAACACAGACTTGGCAGATTCGGACAGGATTACAATGGCGATGTATGTCTGTGAAACACAAATTTCTCTAACCCTCTGGTGAAACTAGAAAAAAACCAGTTCCAGTTCTGCTTATCCAGTCCGATGCAAAGCATGCTGAGAACTAAAGTCCACTGCCCAGTTGTAAAAGTTATCAAGAGAACTTGTGTTTTTAAACTATTTTTTATTATTTTGATGTAATGATTAACACCATGTCAACAGAATGCACCAAAATAATGTTTGTGAATTAAAAATATTTAATTAAACCAATAAATCAGAATTACACTTCTGATTTTCTTTGACTTTATCAAACACATAAAAACGAGGTTGTTTGTTAACATTAGTTGATGCATTCATTATCATGAACTAGCAATGGACAATACTTCCACATCTCATTTTGTAAACATGTATCTGGAGTCACGACAGAGGTAGAAATTAGCAGTGAAAGAACAACATTTTTTATTAAAAATAAAACAGGACAATTTCAGCACAATGAACATGAGCAAAAAGGTGATAAAAATTAAACAGAGGTAAACGATTCAGATATACTGACAAACATTAGTTCTACTTACTTAAAGGGGTCATATGATGCGATTTCAATTTTTCCTTTCTCTTTGAAGTGTTACAAGCTCTTGGTGCATAAAGAAGATCTGTAAAGTTGTGAAGACTAAAGTCTCAAATCCAAAGAGATATTCTTTATCAAAGTTAAGAGTCAACCATGCCTACCTAAAATGGCTTGTTCTAACACGCCCCCACATATCTATGTCACGATGTGGGAAGATTTGCCTAACGCCGTCCAAATGTTCACGCAAAGAAGGAAGGCGTAAATTTAATTCTCGCTGTAGTATTGTTGCTGCCGCCATGTCTAGAGCTGATACGTGCTGGTTGCTGAGGAAATACATCAACTTCACGCGGTGGATCGCCGGATCGGCTTTCACTGTGGACGAAGCGGAGTCCAGCCCGGGGTCGTCACATGTGGTTGCCGCAAGCCCTCCGGACGCTCCTTCATCGAATCCGCCGGCCGTTCTCAAGCTCACTGGCCTCCTCTCACTCTAGGCTGCCACCGCGTGTGACACTGTGTTTCATTGTGAAAGCGAAACTACTTTGTTTGCCCTTCCAAAAGAGGACACGACTAGAAATCAGTGGTTAAGTTGTATTTACAACACTGTTCACTTCAACCCAAATATTCAGATGTGTGCAGCACATTTTATGGAGGACTGTTTCCTGAACCTGGGAGAGTATACTACAATGCCGGCTGTTCTGACTCA